GATGATATGATACTCTACATTGAAGATCCAAAAAACTCCACCAAAAAACTTCTAGACTTAATTGACAGAATTCAGTAGAGTATCTGGATACAAGGTGAATACCCCAAAATCAATAGCCTTCTTATACACAAACAAGAGACACACGGAGAGAGAAATAAGGGAAAAATTCCTTTTACAATAGCATCCAAAAAAATGAAGTATCTAGGAATCAATCTAACAAAAGAAACAAAAGATCTCTACACTGAAAACTACAGCACTCTGAAAAAAGAAATCGAAGAGGATATAAAAAAATGGAAAGATATCCCCTGCTCCTGGGTAGGAAGAATCAACATAGTGAAAATGGCCATACTACCGAAACTGCTATATACATTCAATGCAATGCCAATTGAAATTCCAACACTATATTTCACAGAACTAGAAAAAAGAATCCAAAAATTCATTTGGAACCACAAGAGACCTAGAATAGCAAAAGCCATTATAGGCAACAGTCACATGGCACCAGGTGTAACAATTCCCAATTTGAAACTATACTACAAAGCCACTGTGATAAAATCAGCATGGTACTGGCAAAGAAATAGGCCTGAGGATCAATGGAACAGACTGGAAGACACAAAAACAAATGCAGATGTACTCAGCTACCTCATCTTCGACAAAGGAGCTCACCATCCTCAGTGGAGGAAAGATAGCCTCTTTAATAAATGGTGTTGGAAAAACTGGATATCAACCTGTCACAGATTAAAATTAGACCCTTATCTTTCGCCATGCACTAAATTAAAATCCAAATGGATTAAAGATCTAAATATTAAAACAGAAACATTAAACTTGCTGGAAAGTAAGTTAGGCAGAACTCTGGAAGACATTGGTATAGGAAAAGACTTTATGAACAAATCCTCAGTAGCACGGGAACTAGCAGAAAGAATCAACAACTGGGATCTCATCTTACTAAAAAGCTTCTGTACTTCAAAAGAAACCATTAGCAGAACTAAGAGACAATCTACAATGTGGGAAAAAATTTTTACCAGCTGTACCTCAGACAAAGGACTATTATCAAGGATATATAAAGAACTCAAAACAATCAGTCCCCCCAAATATAAAGACCCGATTCAAAAATGGGCATCCGAAATGAACAGACATTTCTCAGACAAAGAAGTAAAAGCAGCAAGAAAATATTTGAAAAAATGTTCCACATCACTGGTCATTCGAGAGATGCAGATGAAAACAACACTGAGATTCCACCTCACCCCACAAAGAATGACTGCTATCAAGAAATCACACAATAACAAATGTTGGCAGGGTTGTGGGGAGAAAGGAACCCTTCTCCATTGTTGGTGGGAGTGCAGACTGGTGCAACCACTATGGAAATAAATATGGCGATACCTCAAAGAGCTTGGACTGGAGGTTCCATTTGACCCAGCCATCCCTCTGCTGGGTATCTTTCCAAGCAAACTAAAAGAATCATTTCACAGAGAAGTATGTGCATCCATGTTTATAGCGGCACAGTTTGTAATAGCTAAATCTTGGAAACAGCCCATTTGCCCATCCATTGGAAACTGGATAAAGAAGATGTGATTTTTCTATAAAATGGAATATTACTTAGCCATAAAGAATGAGAAAATAGATTCATTCATAGGAAAATGGATACATATTGAAGATTTACTCCTAAGTGAAATAAATAAGTCACACATGTGTAAATACCAAATAGTTTCCCTGGTGTGAATAATCTGCAACAATGCATAAGATTCTAATAAGATTACTGACATTTAGAAATGGGAAGAAAGGAGCTAAAGGTGTAGGGAAGGTGGGATGGGTAGGGGAAGAGTAAAAAGGGAAAAGAAAAAATGTGAGAGAATGAAAAGATGAAAATAAAGTGTTTGTAGATGGGGAGGGGAGGAGGGGGTGAAGGGAGGGTAGAGGTAAGGGGAAAAAATGAGAATCAAGACTTGTCATGGAGAGGTACAAGATCCCAACAATGAATGCAACTGTACTGTATCTCTAAAATGTACCAATAAACTCAATTAAAGCTGAAAAAAAACAGTAACAGCTACTATTTCTACCATTCCTACCACATCTTCCCATAAGGAATTCACTTTAGCTACAAAGTACATTATAATAATCCACCTGCTGCTATCATTTTCATTACTCTAATGTAGTTCAGAGCATAAACTTTAAGTAAAAAAAGGCCTGGGTCCCAATCATTATTATCATATTTTACAAATAAGATTTAAAGAATTTGTTGCATATTAGACATCATATAACTTTTAAATAGAAAAACCATATTAAGATTTGAACTGTTCTTGCCTTCTTCCAGAATCTACCATTGTTTTATTATGAGATGCTATCTATCCACACTGCTCACAGGATTTACTTCTTTATTATTTGGAGCTTATCATGTATCAAGAAGTTTATAAAGCACTTTATATGTATTATATTATTGAACTATCCTCAAGTAAGATTTATAACTGCCCAATTTTACAGAAAAGGGCAGGAGTCTGATGGAGATTTAAGAAGTTGGCCAATATCTCACAGCTAGAAAACAATAGAATTCAAACTGAATCCCATGACTATCTGGATCTGAAATTCTGAAGTTTACTTTCTTGACCATTAAGTATGCCATTCAGACAGAGAGCTGAGAAGGGCCAATGAATTGGTGTCATAATCAGAATTTCTTTTCATTATGGAATAGATGTTCCCCACCACTGCTTCCTTGGGTAAAGAAAAACTTAGTGGCAGCCTAGAAACCCAAGTTACCAGTACAGGTGAAGATAAGCATAGACCTCACATCTTTAAGCCTTTATATTGCAGCAATCCTATAATATCATGGTGACCAACTTACATTTTAGTCTAGAAAGCTGGCATTTCTGAATCCCTGTCAGATAGAGATTTCATACTTACAAAGACACTTCCAGCCTGGATTGCCTAAAATACACCCCGGCCCCATTTAATTTACTTGAAAGGGCAACAACACTCAGTATCAGATTTGGGTTGTTCTGATACATGTAATGCTATTTTTAATTAGTCCTGGCTTCCAAACCATGCATGCCTTGGTTCTCCTTTTTTCATAACAGTGCTCATATCAGAGCCAAAAATGCACAAAATTGAGATTATGGGCCTGGGCACAAAAACAGGATAGAATTTCTGAGACGTGACTAAAACTTCTCCTTAAATAACATTATCCTGTTGGATTTAATGTAGGTAAGGCAATCTTGGGTTCAGTTTATGGCCACTGCACTCCAGACCAGGTAGGCTTGCAAATGTGCTCTCTCCTCCCAGAAATGATGAGGCCTGTGGTGACAGTCTGTATTAGCCACTTTCCTGTTACTAGAACAAAGTAGAAACCCACAACTCAAAAAAAGACGTTTGTTTTGGCTCACAGTTTTCAGAGGATTCAGTCGCTAGTTGGTTATCTCGCAGGCAGAAATGGCAGAGTGGAAAGGCAGGACGGAGGACAGTTGCTCATGCTATGGCATCTAGGAAGCAGATCAGGAAGGGGGAACTTAGGAGAGATATACCTCCAAAGGCACATCCCCAGTGATGCACCGTCCAGCCAGTTCCCACCTCCTAACAGCACATTTAGCTATGAACTCATCAGTGGGTCAATTCACTGGTGAGTATAGCAACCCCATAGCAACCACTTTCCAAAAGTCCCACCTCTGAACACATAAGACTTTGGGGGACATGCTAGATCTGAACAATAGCACAGACACCTAGGGAGTCTGCTCAAGTGCTACAGGTCCTTAGCTCTTATGAATTTATAGTGAAAAGTTAATTAGTGCATCTATCTTCTCATACAGTTGCTTTTGTGTAGGGGCTAAACACACAAGATCTCTCTTAGCAAGCTTCGAGTATATAACACAGTATTATTAGCTATGGTTACCAGCTGTACATTAGAATCCCAAAATATTTATATTATAACTGAAGGTTTGCAATTTTTGACCAATATCTTCCCAGTCCCTCTGCCCCAGCCCATGGTAAACTCCATTCTACCCTTTGCCTCCATGAGTCTGACTTTTCTAGGTCCACATATAGGTAGGATCATATACTATTTTCTTTCTGTGTCCAGCTTGTTTCACTAAGAATGATATCCTCCAGGTTCATGCACAATGTCACAATTGCAGGATTTTCTTTTCTTTTTTGTGGCTCAATAATATTCATATATACCTTGTCTCGCCTATTGTAACTAATGCTGCTGTGCATATGGTCATGATGGCCTCTTTGAAATACTGATTTTATTTCCTTTAAAAATATACCCAGATAATGAAAAGATGGAAATAAAGTGTTTGTAGATGGGGAGGGGAGGAGGGGGTGAAGGGAGGGTAGGGGTAAGGGGAAAAAATGAGAATCAAGACTTGTCAGGTAGAGGTACAAGATCTCAACAATGAATGTAACTGTACTGTATCCCTAAAATGTACCAATAAACTCAATTAAAGCTGAAAAAAAATATACCCAGAAAGGGGATAGTTGGATCATATTGTATTTACATTTTTAATTTTAAAAGAACTTCCTTGTTATTTTCAGTAATTGCTGTGCCAACTTACACCCCCATTGATAGTATATAAGGGCTTCCTTTCCTCCACACATTAGGGACACTTCAATAACTTCAATATATATTTACTTTGGAATTCACAGCTGGAAGGGACCTCCAGTATCTCTGTTATGACTTGGACATGTGCAGCTACCTAGAGTAACAATAGACTTATACATGTAATGTTTCAGCCTAGTGGAAATTTAATTTTTGCTCTTATCCTAGTCCAGAATGGTTTCAGACAGACAGAAATAGGTAGAGATGTTGTTCTGCTGCACAGAGTCAGTGGGAAAAGATGGATGGAGAAGACACTGCCATTTTCCACAGCATTCAAGGGTGCATGGGGGCTGCCAGTGGATGAGCTGGAAGACAAAAGAGGACACAGCATGCAAAGTGGAGATTTCTTTCGACCCAGACCTGGAGGTTGTACACTTCACATTGACTCCCATTTTGATGGAAAGAACTTAGACCTGGTCTCAGGAATTTCAGGAAATACAGTTGAACTGTGTTCTCATTGAAAGGAGAATGGCTCTTACCCCACAGTTCTGTCTTGGATTTCCTTTTCAAGGTCATTCCTACCTCTTAAAATACAACTACATGTAAGTCACCCAGACAATCAACTTTTTCTAAGTTTTGCAGGAAAGTAAAGCTGTCAAACCCAAGCTAGTCTATTATGATGATTATAAGAAAATAAACATAAATCTGATAAAGCATATAGCACCTGAAGATTAAGAGCTGACCCACAGTTGTCTTTCATATTTACAAAGGGTGAAGAAAAATACAGTGCCTGGAGTGAGTGGTGGCACATGTCTATAATCCCAGCACTTGGAAGGCTGAGGCAGGAGGATTGCTGTGAGGTCGAGACCAGCCTAGGTTACATAGTGAGTTCCAGGTCAGTCTCAACTACATAGTGAGACCTTGTCTCAAAAAAAAAACAAAAAAAACAAAAACAAAAACAAAACAATGCCTGGTTAAATTTAAAAAAAAAACAAAACACTAAAAGACACATTGCAAAAATGAGGGTATAGATGTGTTCAAAGTTAGGGAGAATATTTTGGGGGAGGTCAATGTCAGTGTGTATTTTATTGTAACAACTTTTAAAAATATAAATATTCACCATATTTTGCAATCACCCCTTCATCATTTACAGAAACTTCTGACAAGTTAAAAACATTATAGTGTGTTGTCATCTACCTGTTTGCCACAGCTGGCATGTGAGATTTCTGGCTCTTTTCCAAAATCAAAATGACAATGAAAGTAAACATTTTGAATCAATTCATGACACCGAGGCAGCCACCATAGCGCAACCAAAGACATTCATGAAAGAAGACATCCAGAACTACATCAGAAAGTGGCAAAAATTATGGGATCAGTGTGTTCAAAGCAAGGGGAATATTCTGAGGGGAATTAATGGCAATGTATATTTTTATGTAATAAATTTTTTTTGAGACAATATGGGAGAAGTTCAAGCCTGGCTGGGCCAAGTGCACTGCACTCCTGTCTTCTGAGAAAACTCAAAGTCCTCTCTGAGGCTGAGCTAACTCACCTAAGTGCATAGAGGCCGGGTTTAACAGGCTACACCTCTGCCCCAGTCTGTGACTCCTTCACCTCACCCAAGAAGAATCACCCCACCGTACGTCTAGCCAATAAGATATCACCCAATGTTCTCCACCGCTGCACAACCTATAAGAAAGTGCCATGTAGTTACATGCTCCTCCCCTGCTCCTCCCCCATGGTTCCCTTTTTAGTCTGTGCATTTCCTAAATAAAGTGGAAGTGTTCCAGAAGCCTCTCTGGAGTCTGCCTGGTGATTCCACACCTTACCCTCCCAGTCTGAGCTCCCGAACCAAACTCCACAGACCAAACAGTGGAGGACAACAGCTGGTGCCCAAAGTGGGGCTCGCGTATACTGGGTAAATATTGAAGCCATGGGTAAGGATCCTTACCACGGGTAATCTCTTAAGTCAGGAATGGCCGGTACAGGCCACCTTGGTAAAGGCTTTAGTAAAAACTAGAGGCACAAAGGTCTCCAAAGAACTCCTTATTACCTCCTGGGAGACTATTATTAAATTGTCTCCTTGGATGGAGGATGCAGATGTAGTATATGCTGAGCTCTGGGGGAACGAGATACATAATTAGCAGCATGCCAAAAGGCATGGGGAAATCCGCCTCCTGCTGGATTTTTTCCCTATCGCCTCAGCAATTATTCAATATCTCAACCCTCATGCCATAAAGGTGTCCAAGGCATTTCCTGCCCAAACACCAACCGAAAGAGGGCCTCAAAACTGCCCCAAAGATGGCAAACAGGAATCTCCCAAGAAAGATGGCACAGGCAGACTTTCTCTCCTGCCTTCTTCTCCTGAAGCATCAGCCCTTCCCCCAATTCTCCACTTCCTGCCCCTGACACACCTCTGTCAAAACCCCCTCATCACTGGAAACATCATGCATTTCTGGGCCTAAGATGGTGGCTCCCACCATGGGCAAAATATGTTCAAGAAGACTAAGACAGGGACCCAACACTTCAAAGCTTATCCAGTTACGCTGAGCCACCCTGGGGAGCCACCGTGGGTCCCCCACTCCCCCAAGATTTGGAAGGACTTCCATCAAGCGGATTAAGACCAAGGACCTCAAAGCCCTTGGTGCACAAGTGATGAGTATGGCTCCACCTGGAACTCCCAAACCCATTTCCGGCACAGTGACGGTTGCTCTCCTGTGTGCAGCACTTGCTGCCAATTCAGAACAAGCTACTTCTCCCTCTTCGAGCACACAAATTTGGGCTCTAGTCCTTAAGCTAATGTCTACCCTGCCTCTTCCTTTGGAAACTTTTCACAACCTGTAATTTCCACTCCTAAAACTTTACCGTTTCCCCAAGGGCAGTGTGTTTTACAAATAATTTCTCCACACAGGATTGCTTGTTACTCCAAAGGTACAATTCGCAAGGGCCAGGAGGAGTGTTGTTGACCCTGTATGATGCACTCTCTAGTCCAGGAAGGTCCCTGATCTCCTTTCACCCTCCCGCAGTACCTATTTGCTCTGTGTCTGACCAAGCTAACATGGTCCCGCCTCCATATTCCCTGTCCTTTGATGCCTGTCGTTCTTCTGTTCCACTGTCGTAGCGTCCCCCACCTATTGTTTCCATTATACCCCAAAGGTTATGCTCCCCTTTGCTGCCTGCCGCCCATCCCCCTTCTTTTCTATTCTGGCCAATTCCAGCTTCAAGGAGAACGTGCAAGTTCGTGTCACTCCCTGCATCAACCCCTCATTGTTTCCCCTTAATTCTACCTGGTATGTTTATATTGGCGGGAATCCACCAGCAGTTTGGATCCCAGTTAATTTAACTTAGGAATGGAAAGGCAGCGACCCGCTCTTTGATCTGCTGCTCCACCCCCGCCGGAAACGCGATGTAGACATTTCGGCCATTGTTGCCATCATAACATCCATTGTTGCTTCAGTATCTGCAGCCACCACAGCTGCAGCTGCGCTCCGCAATCAAGTTGCCACTGCTACAGTCGTTAATAACTCGGCTCATAACGCTTCCCTGGCTCCCGGACAGTCAGCCACACTTCTTCTTGATGTCCGCACAGCCGTGCTTTTCTTACAGACTCAGATGGATACGGTATGGGAAAAATTACAATTGTCACAAACAAAGGTTTTTAGTAGGTGTCGTGCCAACTTCCCAGACATTTGTATAACTCCATACGCCTGTAAAAATTGTAATAATTATAAAAACTTGTCACAGTATATATGGAAGACTTGGGATCCCTTGTTCAAACAACGTCTCTTGGAATTAACCCATACCATTGTTCAAATTAATAATACTTAGGCATTAGATGTGGCTACTCTTGATAATGGACACAGTTAAGTACTTGGGGAAAGACCTGATTGTTTCCTCACTCTATGTGTTAACCATTTTGGGAATCATTTTGTTATTGTTAATCTTAAAAATTAGGCACCTGGCTCAAAAGAGATATAGACAGACTCGTAAAGATGTGGTCCTCTTGGCTGAGGATCGGGAGTCAAAGACAAGAGGGGGAATTGTGGGAGAATTCAAGGCTGGCTGGGCCAGGTGCGCCACACTTCTGTCTTCTGAGCAAATTTAAAGACTTCTCTGAGGCTGAACTAACTCACCTAAGTGCATAGAGGCTGGGTCTAACAGGCTTTTACCTCTGCCCCTAGTCTATGACTCCTCCACCTCATCCAAGAATCACCCCACCATACGTCTAGCCAATAAGATATCACCCAATGTTCTCCACTACTGCATAACCTATAAGAAAGTGCCATGTAATTAAATGCTCCTCCCATGCTCCTCCCCCATGGTTGTCCACAGGCAAGCTATATAAGCCGGTGCAGTTCCTAAATAAAGAGGAAGCATTCCAGAAACCTCTCCAGAGTATGCCTGGTGATTCTGCGCCTTACCTTCCCAGTCCAAGCTCCCAAACCAAACTCCGCAGATGAAACAGTGGACAATAATAAGACAGGGTCTCATTGTGCAGTTCAGGCTGGCCTTGAACTCACTATGTAGTTTTGGCTGGCTGCAAACTCATGGCAACCCTCCTGCCTCAGTCTCCCAAGTGCTGAGACGACAGGCATGAACCACCACGCTCAGCATGTAATAAAAATATTTAAATTTAAACATTCATATTTTTCATTATATCTCATATATCAACTGTAGAGTTGGCAAGTTGGAAGATATTTAAATTTTCCCATGTTTAATTAATATTCTTAAGGCCATATTTTTTGAAGAATATTTTTAAAAATTATTAAGTAGAAAAAAATTAGATATTTTCCTTCTAGAATTTTATTCATGGTAAACATAGGATAAAAATATAGAAAAACAATTGTGTACTTAATTATAAGACTACTTAAAAATAGACTAAATATTTTTAAAGTTATAGAAAATTTGTTATAAATATTTTGAAATTTAAATTAAATTTGCTTTTATTTATTTAAATAAATCAGACTCAGGACCTTGTGCTTACAAGGCAGATGGTGGCACCACCGAGCTAAATCTCCAGCTTTAAATTTATTTTTAATGGCATAAAAATTATACACATTTGTGGAGTACAATGTGGTATTTTGGTACATGTATACTTTGTGTAGTGTTTAGGTTAAATATATTTATCTCTTCATACCTTTTTCTCTTTATGGTGAAAACATTCAAAATCCTTTCTTCTAGTTTTGTTTTGTTTTTTGTTTGCTTCCTTTTTTGGGGGTGGGGTCAGGATCTTACTATGCAGCTTTGAACTCACTATGTAGCCCAAGCTGGCCTGGAACTCATGGAGATCTTCCTGCCTCATCCTCTGAACTTTCTAAACTTTCTAGCTTTTGACATATCCAGTAAATTTCCATTATTTCCATTATTTATAGTCACCTTACTATTTAATAACACAAAAGAACTTCTAACTCCTATCTATCTGTAACTTTGTATCCACTGACCAATATTTTCCCATGTCTCTCTTTTTAAAACAAAATTGCAATCAACAATAGAAAAAGGCTAACTGGGTCTTGGGATTATTTATTGTCCTTTTCGGTGTCTTCTGTGCTTTTTGGTAATAATCTCCCTATAATTATATAAAAATGTTTAAAAAGAGAAATTAACAAATCAGATTTCATCAAATATTAAACAGTAAGTGGAAACAGCATACTCTGGAGTTACATAAGCCAGGACTCAAAGCTCTGCTCCTGTGGTTTGTAAGGCATTGGCCACCTCTTAATCTCTCTGAACCTCAGTCTCTATCTGTCAACTGCTATTTTCACCTATCATCCAGTATATATTAGCATAAACCACTCAGTCTTCCCTTCTCTTGTATTCCCTACTTCCTTTTTTCTCTCTCTTCCTTTCACTTGTTTTCTCTGTATTTTTTTTCTGGCCAGTTAGAAATACAACTTGGGGTGGAAGTAGGGGCAGGGGGAGAGTGTTCTGTTGAAGCTTCTAAAAGCATTTGGCAAAAGATGAACTGTACAGTCCTAATATCTTCCTACTGTGTTTGGGCAACAGCAGTAAAGGAACTCATAAACCTAAAGCAGGTAAAGCAAAAATTACACAGGAAGAAGGAGGGGGTGGCCAAGACCCAGTAAGAAAATACCTTAGTAGTCCATAGTATTGTCATTTAAGTTCTCATCTGCATCTCATTATCTTAATAATACATAACAACAGCTCTTCAATTCCTCATACAGAAGGAGGATGGGAAATAGTTTCCTTGGATAGGTCCCTGGCCTTTTCTATCACACTAGATATTATTTCCAAATGTTGAGTGTCAGGGGAGTGCTTCGCCTTCCCCTAGCCGTAAAACAGCTTGGCTCCTTTTAGGGAAGAGATGAGTCGGGCAACCCGCAGAGTACCCTCATGGAACAGACTTCTCTGGAATCCAGAGCTCAGCAGAACCCCATGCTGCAGGCATGTGGAGCCCTGCGGGAAAGAAGTGCTTTACCCCAATCCGCATCCTCCTTGTGGAGTCCCTACAGACAAAGCTCAGGTCCACAGGACATAAGGATTTATTTAACTTCTTCCGCTGGGAAATTTCACTTTTTTTTTTCAATGCTTTTATTTCAAAATATTTAAAACTTCCAAAGGAGTTAAAATTATAGTTCAAAAGATCCTACATCCCCTTCACTCATATTCTTGAATTTTATATTTTAGCATTTTTGCTTTATCATATGAGTACTGTCACCGATACTGTTTTCTAATCATTGGAGAGCAAATTATAGATATGATAATTCACCTCAAAATACGTCAGTGTGGGTACTAAAAAAATGAAGGTGGTCCTTATTTTTACATAAGTGTAGTACAACTCTTACAATCAGGGAGTTAATATTGCTACATTCTAATCTAACCCTCAGACTTTCTTCAAATTTTGCCACTGTCCAAACCACAGAATTTATGACAAAGGGATCGGATCCAGGGTCAGGTACTACTCTTCAGTCTTCTTTAGCTTTGAACTTGCCCTATGTTGTCATTTGTCCTTTAGGATCTTGTTTTCTGAAGAATATAAACTGACTACTTTGTAGAATGTGCCTTAATTTGAATTTGCCTGATACTTGCTGCTGTTTTCAAGTCATGCATATCTGACAGGAAAACCACAGAAGGCATGTTGGCTATTTCTCTCTGTGTTACCATCCTTGACATCTCTTTGTCCTATTACATATTCTGAATCTTGATGGTATTGTTCTTTTTTTAATTAGTGCAAACCTTGTAAGGAGATACTTAGAGACTATGAAAATAGTCATCCACCTCAAACTTTTATCCACTAGTTCAATATTTTAAAGCATTTTTGAACTTGACCTTTTTTGAAATTTTTGACCAAAAATAACAGATTAATTGAAGTTTATCAGCCCGGAACACCATACATTCGAGGGTGCACTTTCAGGTGCTCAGAGCTGCCCATGACAGAGACCAGACATGCTGTCTTTGAAGATTGCTCTCACTCCCTCTAGGAGAGACTTTCAGTCTTCAAAGCTGGAAGCAGGGGCAAACTGGAAGCCTCCAGAGAACCTTCCTGGTTAGTTTTCCTTCTATCCCTGAGAACTTAGCCTGGTGGTTTGTGTTAGGAGCTTTTTGCTGAGTTTTTGTTTGCCCACATCTGTGGAACACTTTATGATGGGTTCGTGCTATTTATGTTGGAAATTGAGGATTTGGGCCTCTGGTGGAGGCTTAAGCTCCACCTTAGGTCTGAACTGTGAGACTAGTAAGGTGACCAGTGTGGCACTATGGAAAGACCCTCTGCCATCTCCTTCACCACCACACAGACCTTGGTCTCCTGCTCCTCAAATGCCCTGAGAAAACTCAGAAGCTTGGGAGCAGTGGTGCTGTAAGTAAGATCCCCCCTCTTCTGTTCATTAAGTTTATTTGTACATTTTAGGTATTCAATATGATGACATTCATCATTGGGAATTTTTACCTTTACATGATATATCTTGGTTCTTATTTTCTCCCCATTCCCTGCCCTCCCTTCTACCCCTCCACCCTGCCCTATTTACAAAAACTTTGTTTCCCTTTTTTTCTTTTCTCATATTTTCCTTTCCCTTCTTTCTTTTCCCCTACCCCCTCCCTACACACACACACACACACACACACACACACACACACACACACACACACTGCCCTTTATCCTTCCTCTTTGGACTTTTCTTCCTATTTTACATTACCTATTATACATTTTGGTCCTCATTTACATATTCAGTTTCTCACACCACAGAAAGTGTTTGATATTCACATATGTATTTATTTTACTTAAAAGTATGGCCTCAATGTGCATCCATTTAGCTAAAAATGTCTCTAGTTTTTCATTCTTTATAGCTGAGTAGTACTCCATGTTATTAAGAAAATCTTTATCCAGTCTCCAGTTGATGTGCAATCGGGCCACTTTCAAGTTTTAGCCACATATATTACTTTGGTTTGATGCTTTT